AAAGTAGGTGCTGATGTGATGAAGCTGTGTCTGTGTGCGGTAGTGGCAGTGGGGGGCTGAGGGAGGTGACAACTTGTATTGGGTAATGCACAGCAGAGTGATCAAAGAGTCTTGGGATTCATCTGACTCATTTAACTACAAGTAGTGATCCATGTGCTCGTACAGCATTCATATTTGTATATCTAGACTTATCTCTCCTCAGAGCTCTAAATCTCAGCAGCCACCTCTCCTCTGTGGATTCCCCAATGATGTTTCACCAGCTTCCTAAACTCAGCAAGTCTAAATTGGAAATTTGGGGCCGGAGAGATAGTACAAGGGGTCAAGTACTTGCCTTGCATACAGCAGACCCTAATTCTAATCTCCAGCATTGGCATATGGTCTCTTGAGCAGAGGTAACTCCTGAGTACCACTGGATGTGACCCTACTCACTCCACCCAATGATAATAAGTAAAATGGAAATTTTTTTTAAACTTTTTAATTTTATTTTATTTCTATTTTTTGGTAGGGCTGGAACAATAGCACAACGGTATGGCTGACCCGAGTTCAATTCCTCTGCCCCTCTCAGAGAGCCCGGCAAGCTTTCTCGCCCACACGGCAAAGCCTGGCAAGCTACCTGTGACGTATTCAATATGTCAAACACAGTAATAACAAAGTCTCACAATGGAGATGTTACTGGGCCTGCTCGAGCAAATCGATGAACAACGGGAAGACAGTGCTACAGTGCTAAATTATTTTTTGGTCATACCCGGCAATGCTCAGTGGTTACTCCTGGCTCTGCACTCAGAAATCACTCCTGGCGGTGCTCAGGGGACCATATGGGATGCTGGGAATCAAACCCGAGTCAGCCCCATGTGAGGCAAATGCCCTACCCACTGTGCTATCACTCTACGCCCCCCCCCACCTTTTTTTTCTTGTAAGCCTACTCACTCCCATCTCAATATATGGCAGTACCATGGCCTAAAAGAACCTCAGGGGTGTTCTTGAATTCCCTTTCTCCCTCTTGCCTTTTATCTCTATCTGCCACCAAGTCTACAGTTGGAACTTCAGAACATGCTGGATTTAATCTCACCTCCATCACAGGGAGTCGTTCCCTAAACAAAAATAGGTGTTGGGGTCAGAGTGATAGAACTGCAGGTAAGGCGTTTTCCTTGCATGCAGTCAACCGAAGTTCAATCCCCGGCATCCCATATGGTCCCCCACACACCACCAGGAGTAATTCCTGAGTGCAGAGCCAGGAGTAACCCCTGAGCATCGCTGGGTATGACCCAAAAAGAAAAAAAAAAGGTGTTCTGTGCACTTATGGTTTAGAAAACTGTGCTCTGTCATGGCCGGGGAGTTCTTCTCATCCCTTTCTATTGTTTATTCAGTTAATAAAATGAGAAGTTTTAACATAGCACCTGTTTTCCTTAGGGAACAGTTCCCTGTGGTAGAGGTGAGGTTAAGTCCAGTGTGTGAGATCTATAAACTCCACACAAAAATCACCCTGGGTTGTTGCTGTCTTCTTCCATGATCCATTGCATTGTCTTTATGAGGCTGTCACCCCTAAATCCTTTGCAGTCCCTTCCACACTGAGTGTTGGGGCCTCTGATGCCTGAGAGGTTTGTTGGCAGGTTTTGTGGCTTTCTGTGACCTGGGCAGCTCAATTCATGGTGATCTTAGACGCAGAGGTCCAACCCAACTCTGGTTGCTCATGTTCTACCTTGCTGCTGCTTCTGTGCAGCTCTGATGCATGCAGTACAGCCCCCTTGGGTGTGGCCCCCGCCCTTGGGTGTGGCTCACAGTCTCGACTTCCGGAGGCTGCTTAGGGGCAGCTGCAGGGCTTTCCTCTAATAACCAGTGCTGGCTGGAGGCTCAGGTGGAAATCCTGTAAACCACCACAGGATTCAAAGACTTGGGTCTCTGGTGGACAGATACTGACAGGCTGACTTCAAGGATCATTGTCTAAAGCTTAACTGACAGAGATGGCCAGGGTCAGCTCAGGGCTTTCCTCAGAATTAATCTCAGGAAGGAATTCTAGCAACATTTCTCAGCCATTCCTACCTAGTCTACACCCTCTTTCTTGGGATTTACTAATGGGACTTTATTGACTCATGTGTTTACAGGCAAAACAAAAAGTAAAAAAAAAATCACACATTGCAGCAGCCTTTGTCAGAGACAAGAAATATGAGTGTATTGACACTTTCAAGGACAAACCAAGTGCAGAGTTGTTTCCTTAAGTTAGTGTTTATTCAGTTGTGGATTTTCTTTTTCCTTTGGTATACTGGATGAGGCCAGGTGTTTTTGTTTTATTTTCTTTTGTTTAAAGGTAAGAATTAGCATTTTAACCAGTCAGCTTGTTTGGCATTTACCCACTGAATTTATCATTTGCACTGCCTGAAATTGCCCTGGTAATGCAGAAAAAATAACCTCTTAAGATAGGTTGTCATGGAATTCTTTTTGTACATACCACATATGAACTCTTTGTCGTACAAGTGTCAGTAGATATTTTCTTGGCAAATTGCAAACGAAAGTTTTAGAAATTAAAGCACTCCAACTGTAGGGACAATATCAGATAAGCTCTATTTTCAAAGCTTTATTTTCTTTCCAGTGATACATCACTCTGCAGTGATTAAGCTTAAGACAAATTAAGCTTCCAGCTTCTTTTTCTTGGTTCGTTTTGTGAGGAATTGACTTATAAATAAGTATTTAAGCTACCTGGTCAGAGTTACTATTTCAGGGAAGACCTCAGTGAATTATTTTGCTAGTATAGATTCTGTATGTTGTTACAAGGTGAGGAATGCCTGTGTTGTACGTGGTTTGTTTTGATAGAAACCTAAGGCCAGAACTTCAGTACCTGCACTAAAGGTAATCTGGGACTCCAGACCTCTGTCCTTGGAGAAACCAGGGTTTCAAAGGGTCAGTATGAATGCTTTGCATGTGAAGACTCAGAGTTCGATCCCCAACACCCCAAACCCCACTCAGTGCCACAGACTCCCCCACAAAATACCATATGAGTCAAAGAAACCCAGAATGCAAACACTGATAAATAAGTCAAACGTTGAATATAATGAATAATGTTATCTGTAACCTAACACCGAATCAAAAGAAATTAGCCAAACATTGATAAAGGTACTTTCTCAGTTGAGAATACTTTGCATTCTTTATGAATTTCATTCGGATATAGAATCCTGTATGTTTTACCTATGGTTATTCCTTATTCTGGCTTATCCCAGACAATGTCAAGTAAGTTTGAAAGCCATAGGTCAAATTGCACAAAAAAAAAAAAAAAGGGAAAACTTTCTTTTGGTTGAGGGGGCACTGGGAAGAGGGACACACCCTGAGATTTTCAGGGGATACTCCTGGCTCTGCACTCAGGAATCCTTTGGCTGTGCTCAGGGGACCATATGAGATGCCAGGGATCAGATCTGGGTCAGCCACATGCAAAGCAAATGCCATGCCCACTGTATCATTGCTCTCACCTGAAAAGAAAAACTTTTAAGAAAGTGATAATCCAATAAGAAAAATAAAACTATCATGAAATAGTGTTCAGATTACCTGGAGAGGAGCATGTATAGGAAGCTATAAGAAGAGATCTTTCAGTGAAATGAATTGGAATGACTGCATTATGAAAATATAGTTCTGGGGCTAGAGCACAGCGGGTAGAGCATTTGCCTTGCAAACGGCCAACCCAGGTTTGATTCCCAGCATCCCATATGGTTCCCCAAGCATCGCCAAGAGTAATTCCTGATGGCAAAATCAGGAGTAACCCCTGTGCATCTACGGGTGTGAACCAAAAACACAAACAAAACAAAAAAAACAAACAAAAAACACACAATAGTTCCTATTTGTCTGAAAATTACTTAGAATGCCCAGGTGGCAACATTGAACCAAGATATGGTGGAAATTGGCAGGGTAGGGGGGCTCTCTTAATAAAAGGACCCACATGGTTACACACCCAGGATGCCTTGGAAGTAAGAAAGAACTTTTGGAGATTGGATATTTGAAAGCAAAATTTAGAAAATTGAACAGAAAGGTTGAAGAATAAAGAAAATGCTTAGAAAAAATGGACAAAAATATTTTTAAATATTTAAGTAGGATAGAAGACAATTTAAGAGATTCCTGACACAAATGATGTCCAAGTTCCAGAGAAAAGATGGAAAAAATCATGGGAAGAAAATAATCTCCTAGAAATACCTAAATTTCCAGAACTAAAGAGCACGAGTTTCTATATTTCAAAGACCAAAGCAGAGCACATAGTCATGAAATATTCAACTACCAGGAATAATCACCTGAAAGCTTTCAGAGAAAGAACATATCTGCTCATGCACAAAGAGATGAAAATCTGAATGGCAGCAAACCCAAAATATTAATTTAGCCAGAATATTTGATATAAGTATTTTGAGAATTTGGGAGATGAGAGGAGACAAACGAAATCTTCACCACAGTAGTAAATTCATAGGGAACCTACCCCGATGAATTACCAGGAAATGGCATGCATGCACACTTGCACACATGCACACACACACACAACACACATGCACGTGCATGCGCGTGTGCGCACACACACACACACTGTTTAGAAATTTGGAAACAAAAAGTAAAACAATTCAAAAGTTTAAAAAAAAATCTTATTGCAATAAGAGTGAAGGACATAAGCCAGAGAGATGTGCTTAAGGCGCTTCCTTGACATGACTGGCACAGATTTGATCCCTAGCACCCTAGTTGGTTCCCTGTACTCCAGCTGGAATGATCCCTGAGCACACACCTAGGAGTAAACCATGCGTACAGCTGGGTGTGGACCCCAAAAACGAACAAACAAAAGAGTATGAAGGACTCCTGCATACAGGAATCCTGGGCAGAAGAAAAGAACTTTGTTTTCAGTGACAACCCTGTAGAATTAGTATCTGTTAAACTACATGCTTGATTTATTGAACTACTAAAATTAGATGATAAAGTAGATAAGAATTTGCACGTGGTTTGTGTGGGACTCAAATGATGTGACATAATGCTTCTCTCCTCAGATTCCCGCTACATTCTCTTGCCTGTCGTGTTACATCACCTCCACATGCATCTGCAAGAACAGAAGGACCTGATCATGTGCGCACGTATCCTTAGCAACGTGTTTTGTCTCATCAAGAAAAATAGCTCAGTAAGTAAACACAGGCCGAGGTGTGCATGCCCATTAAATGGCATCTGAACATAAAATCTTAAACATCTTCTGAGAAACCACTCTACAGATTGACCCCAGCAACTCTCACTTTTACTTCCCCTGGGTTGGGCTTTTTACTTTTCGTCTACAGGAATTTTCTTAACCCTGTGGGATTGCTCTAACCCCAAATAACCTGGGCTTCCTAAACTTGGATTTCAAGAAAGAACTCAATACCCAGTGAGAAAAAATTAGAAAGCTCAAAGCCTCCCACATGTGTCTTTAATCTTGATATGATGAATGCTCTGTGGTAAGAATAAATCACTGCTTGCTAAGTGAAGGCATTTTTTAAATTTTTTTGGCCCATTTGCTGAAAGGTTGGATGATGATGCTCAGAGTTTGGCCCTACATTTGGGCCAGAACCTGTGGAGATTGGGGAAACAGAGGAAAGCCCAGGAGACTGGGAGTATCTTGCAGAATAGTCATTGACTTCAATAGTGATTCTAAATTTTTATGACTTGAGGAATTGCTGTCAATGTTCCTGACTCCTGATGCAATACAATTGCACTAAAGGTTGTGCAAATAGAGGAAAATCACATGTTGGTTTATAAGTGGGGACAACTCCAAATACTATTGTTCATCGCTCAAGGATTGGCTCTGAAATTCACACATGATGAATGTCCTTTTCCAGTCCTGACAGTTTGCAAGTGTTAGGTATTATATTGATCTCTAACAGCTGAGTGCTGAGACTCCTGTTCCTCTTCTCCTGATTAGTACTAGGCTCCAGTTTCACTCATACTTAGCACCTCTCAGCAATGAGTTGGCAGGAGACCTCAGTGGAAATAGTGAGATAGTGCCCCACTACTGAGACAACAGAATTAGCACTTGACAGGGAAAGTCCGGTATCTAAAAGTGATTCCTGCCTGAAGAAGCATGATTTGTTCCTGGCCACACTCATTATTCCAAGCTATAAGACTGGTCCAGGACAGGGCTAAAGAATGGTATTCAAGGATAAGTATTTATTTTATATTTACAGTTAAATTCCCTCTCTACAGGCCAGAAACCAATAAAAGTGCCAAGTTTCTATTTAGAGTATTATTGCAAATTAACATTGTGGATACTTTAGAATAAATCAAATAACTCATTACAGAAAATGAAAAACAAGGGGCTGGAGCAATAACACAGTGGGTAGGGCATTTACCTTGCCTGCGGCCAACCCGGGTTCGATTCCCAGCATCTCATATGGTCCCCTGAGCACCACCAGGAGTAATTCCTGAGTGCAAAGCCAGAAGTAACCCCTGTGCATCGCTGGATGTGACCCCCCCCCCAAAAAAAAGGAAAGAAAGAAAGAAAGAAAGTTTTTCCTAAAATCCTAGCCAAAAAAAAAAAAATTTGGTTCATCTCACACTTTCTAAACATCTACTTTGCAATGGCAGGCTTCATGGTAGGAAGCATTTTTACACAAATTTGTTCTGTTGCAGGTATAGTAAGAACCCAAACCCACTGCATGTAATTAATGCAGGGGATTATACATTTCTCTCTCAAGTCCTTGGAACATGTATAGTATGGATTTTGCTTCAGAAAAACAGTCTATACCAGGGCCACTGACATTAGCTCCATTCTTAGTGAATAGTGTTTACCTATGTCAACTGTTGTTTGCATACCTTTGTATGTATCACTGTATCACTGTCATCCCATTGTTCATCAATTTACTCAAGCGGAAACCAGTAACGTCTCTATTTGTCCCAGCCCTGAGATTTTAGCAGCCCTCTCCTTACTCGTCTTTCCCAATGATTGGAGGCTCTTTCAGGATCAGGGGAATGAGACCTGTTATAGTGTTTATATACATGTTTTTTTTTTTTTAAAAAATCATAACTATAGAAGTTGTCGCTTGCACTTAAAATAGAGTTTTGGAAAATACCTAGTGTAAACTACAGTAATTGATAGAGTGAATGGAAGAATAATTGTAAATAAATTAATTAAAATGTTTTAGGACCAAGAAGGAATTCAATTCTAAAATACAGTAAGGAGCTGGGGCTCGTAGGGCAAAATGACTTGCCCAAGTTCACATACTATGTTAGTGGCACAGCTGATGTTCTGAAGTAGTCAATACTCCTTCCAGGACATCACCCACAGTTAATTTATATGTTAGCTCTCCATCGTACAGCCAAGTTCTATACTACTGGGGGAGCTACTAACTTTCGCGCCTCTGCTTCTTGTAAAAGGTCATTTACTCTGGTGACTTCCATGAGATCCAAGTCTCTCAAACTCCGAAGTTCTCTGACTCTTCAAATCTATACTTAGAAATGCTTTTTTACCTCCCTTTTCTGTTATAGAGAGATTAAATATACATATTACAACTACATTTTCCTGAAACATGATTTTTTTTCTCATGCAGGAAAAATCTGTCTTGGAGGAAATAGATGTCATCGTGACCAGCCTGCTGGACATCCTGCTGAGAACTATCCTGGAAATTACCAGTCGGCCCCATCCATCCGGCCCCACAATGCGGCTCCAGTTCCAGGATGTCACTGTAAGATCAGAAAGCAAATGACACAGAGATCAGAGCGCAGTTGTGTTTTTGCTAAATCTTCAGTCACTTTGAGGATGGGTTGCTGTATAAACCTAGTAAATCTGGCTTAGGGAGAGTGATCTGTGTGCCTTTCAAATATACCTTCATTCAGCTAGAGGAGGTTACTGAAGCAGGTTTGTTAGAAGAGTTTTTACTTCATAGAATCAAATTCAGTGTTAGCTTTCATGTTACTCACTTTGACTGAAATCGTGATTCTATATCCCCAACCTTTCTGATAACTTTTCACTCATCCAATTCTTAAGGAATTTAGAATAGTGAAATGGAGCCATTGGGAGTCAGGGCCCCTGAGTTATCATTCTGGATAAATAAGAACCTTTGGTCCCAGATTACTTGGTAATTTCTAAGGTGCCTCCAGGTTCTAGTAATAAATACATAAGTATAATATAATATTATGTGATAATTTCCATTAATGTAGTAGGGTAGGCCTTCAATTTCCAGGTACCTCTGCAGCCACCTTCATCCACAGATTTTAGTGTAGGTTTCTTTTTCACGTTGTAAATTTCCAGAGTGTAGTTGTTGGACCATACTGTTGTTACTCTTCAGAAAAATGCCAAATTGTTTTCTATACTGACCTTATTTTTCACAAGTGTTCCTCTCAGCAGTATTCAAAATTATTATTATTTTTTCTGGTGCTGTTATTGTGATAGGTATGTAGAGATAGCCTTTTTTTTTGGTTTAAATTTGCATTTTCCTAATAGCTAATGATATTGAACATCTTTACATTTGCTTTTATTGCCGTTTATCTTCTTCACTGAAATATTTAATCCCTTCCCCCTCATATTCCAGTTGGACTGCTTTCCCTTGTTGAATTTTGAGAGTTATTTATAGATTCTATATACTTGTTTTTTATTGAATATAAAATTTATAAATATTTTCTTCCCGTCTTTGGCTTCTTTTTTTTATTAATCATTGCAGAATCTTTTGTAGAGTATAATTATTAATTTCAGTGAAGTTTATTTTATCAAATTTTCATTTTATGTATCATACCTTTTATTTCATGTTTAAGAATTCTTTCTATCTATCCTTATGCTTCCAGTTCTTTTCTTAAAAGCATTTTACTCAGAGGGTCAGAAAGATAATGCAACAGGTAACATGGGTTTGATCTCCAGAATCACATATAGTATCCCGGCCCTCCCAGAAATGATCCCTGAATGGAGAACTAGGAGTAAGCCCTGAACACAGCTGGCTATGGCCCAAGCCCCTACCCCTGCTGCAAAAGGCATTAATTTTTTGTATTTTATATTTTATTCTATAAATCATTTCAATTTTCATATAAGGAGAGTAACTCTAACATCTTTAACCAACTTACCATTGATAACCATTTTCTATTTCATTCCAATGGACATCTTTCTGTTTTGCTATGATGAGTGATTTTTCTATTACTGGTCATACTTGTAAATGTAATAAGACTCCTCATATTTAGACCCTTTGTTTTAGCTGTCTCTATACAAAAGCACTTATGAGGGAAGGGCAGTGATGCTAAATAATTTTGGCCAGATGGAAGTAGAATCCAGGGTCCCCATATTATCTTACCTAAGAGTAACCAGTAGCTGGAAAACACCCCTTCCAGGCTGAGGACTTGGTTCTAAGAGCTTGAACACATCCCACAGAGGGCAAGTACATGGCCCAAGGTTTGTTCACTGCCACTTCATGGTGTCCCTGACACCACAGGGCCCCTCCTTCTCTACCACTCAGGATCCCTTCCTGCGCCCACCACCTCAAACCCATGGAAGAAATTACCAACTCCTCCTTTGGCTTTATATACATACATATATATATATATATTTAACATGTATATATAATTGTGATGAGAACTGTTAAAGTTTATTCTCTTAACTATTTTCAAATTTGCAGTATTTGACTTTTTCTGACATTGGAGAGACACCTTGGGAAAGTTCATCATAGCCATGTGAGGGTAGTCTCTCTAGCATCCTCACTTCACATTTAAAGGTGTGAGTAAGGCTAGCAGTTTGTGGTGTGTGTGTGTGGGTGGGGAGGTTCAGCTGGAATAGAACAGGTCTTTTGGAGTTTTTGAGGCAAAAGGAGCACAACAGGTGATGCTTCTGGCTTACCCCTCACTCTTGAACTTGAACACATGAATCACTCTGGAAATACTCAGAGAAATATATGTGTACTAGGTATCAAACTGGGGTCTGCCACATGTGAGTCAAGTGCCTTAACCTCTGTACTTCTCTCCAGCCTCTAGAGTAGAATGGTTCTTACTGAAAGTTTGGACCAAAGTATGCACCTCTTTGTCAAAAAAGAATAGACTTCTGATGGCAATTTTTTGTTGCCTACTGTTGGTCTTTCAGAGAGGCCAAACTCTTCATAGACAAGTGTGGGATACAAAGCAGAAAATAAAAAATAAAAATAAAAACCAGACCCAGACACTAGAGAATTCAACATCTTGTTCTTGGTTGAATCCCACAGTTTCTAGGCTATCCACTTTCTTCTACCTTTAAGAAAAGAAAAATTATTTCAGGCACCATGATTTACAAAACTGTTAATGAAAAGACTTCATGCATAAAACATTCTAGAACCAGACCCTCAACCAGAGTGTTTGCTTACCTCCACCAATGTTCCTAGTCCTCCCCCCACCCCCATTCTGTCTTTACCCCACCCCATCCCCCAGCCTTTGTGGTAAGCTTCCTAGTAAAGACCAATTCTAGTCTCTGTTGCATTTCATTTTATGGCAACATAGACTCTCCAGATGCAGTCACTTAGCAACCAATTGCATGATTTTTATCTTTTCTTATAGTCAAGTAGTATTCCATTGTATATATGTCCCATAGTTTCTTTATCCAGCCATCTGTTCTTGATCACTTGAGTTGTTTTCAGATTTTGGCTATTGAGAATAGTGCTACAATGAACTTAGGAGTGCAGTTGTATTTCTGAGCCATTTGGGGACCCTCAGAGTAGATGCCTTGAAGTGGAATTCTGGATCATATGAGATCTTAATTTCTAGGGGGTTTTTTTGTTTGTTTTTTTTTTTATTAGTGAAACACCATGAGGCACAGTTGCAGAATTTCTAGTTTTTTTTAAGGAGTGGTTATATTATTTTCCTAAAAAGGCTAGACCAGTCAACATTCCCACCAGTATTGAATAAAGGTCTCTTTTCTCCCACATCCAAGACAGTACTGGTTGTTTTTTTTTTTTTTTGTGGGGGGGGGAGGGGACATGTGCCAGTTTTAATAATTTGAGTTGATATCTCTTTGTTTGTTTTGATTTGCAGTCCCCTGATAGGTGATGTAGACGCATTTTTTAAATACCTGTTGGAGAACTGCTTCTTGGAGGAAATTTCTGTTTATCTCTTTCCCCCAATTTTTTATGGGATTGGTGTATTTTCTCTTGTAAAGTTCTATGGACAGTGCTTTATATATTGTGAATATTAACCCTTTATCTAATTAGTAGTGTGCAAATATTCTCTCATTGTCTTTGGGATGTCTTTTTTTTCTGACATCATTTCTCTTGTGGTGCAGAAATTTCTTAATTTGATACAGTCTCATTTGTAAAAATACGCTCAGTGCTTTGAGCTCTCTCCGTCACTGATAAGTTTTGTTGTCTAAAAGATAAGTAATTCTTTGACTAGAAATATGCTTTTGCCATTTGCACATTGTTTTCTCATAGAACAGGCTCTCTAAATAGAGATAATAGAGATTCTTTACATGGTGGCTCTACACTGAGCATGATTTAGTCTGTACCTGAAAAAGAAGTGCCCACAGGAAAAGGACGTGCTGGGGGTAAAAGCAGTTCCCATGGAGTGTCATGATAAATTGCTTCCAGTTCTGTATAGAACATATAAAATGGCTGTCACCTTGCTTCCCAGTAATGCCAACAGGAGAATTGGCTTCCTTACATCATAATTTCAAATAACAGTAGCTTTACTTTATTTTAAACAAAGGTACTTTTTGTTCTTCTAACCATTTGTTAAATTTTAAAATGTTCAACTAGGGGAAAAAAAAACAGAAACCGTTGTATTTAGTTCCTTTCAAAAAATCTAATTGTACATGAAAGCAGATTTTCTAAAGCAGTTTATGTGACCATTTGCTCACACTCTCAACTAATTGGACTCCAGAGTTCCTTACAATTTCAAAGTGCTTTTTTTCACATAGTTCTGATATGCACCAGTTGTATTTGTAGGCAACTCAGCTCAGCATACATCTTGTCTCTGAAAGCCTGGTGCGCTTGTACAGAGCTCTCGTTTACCATGGGACTACTGGTTGTGTAAACCCAAAAAGACAGCAGCGGTCTATCTCTCCCACCGCCCCTGTTCGGTAGTCTCATGCCTCTTCCCCCATCCCGGGGAAGTCGATGGCGATGAGCAGGCAAAGGAAGGAACGAGAGCCACACTGGTTAGTGTCAGTTGCAGTTTATTTCAATTCTCTCTCCATTCACTCCTATCTCTCCTCTACTTCCCCCTCTGCTTCTTCCTGCACCACGCTACTTCATTCTACTCCTCGATCCCCCTTTATTTTCCTTCTGTCTCTGGAATCTGGATCCCCCTAACCACCCTTACAGTCTACTTAAATCCCAAAACCTGGAGGGGTTGGGGCTTACACATAGGTATGGTCACAATCAATTAGGGGTAAAGCTCTTTCCCTCAGGGGGTACTTCTAGGACAGATACTCTCTCAGCAGGATAACCCACCCAAGAGCGGAATCCCATGGGTGTGTTTTTCCACTCCTTGTCCAACAAACATATGAAGATTCATAATATTGATCATTTTGTATGGACACAGTAAGAGATACATTAATATTATAGAATTGCTTTCCTGGGGTCACCTCAATCTCAGACTACAGTGCTCAGGCCAGATTAGTCTTTCCTATCCCCAGCAGGGTCCTAGTCTCATTGTTACTTTTGGATCATGACAGAATTTGTCCATGATCAAACTCTTAAGTAATAGTTAAGAATCGTGGCACTTTGGCCTGGCCCATTTCCAT